TGTACGATAACCTGACTCCATTCACTTCACAAGGTACGGAGAAGAATTCTGACAATCCATCCATAACCTCAAATATGCATACGATCAGCCCAAACCCATGCACTACTGTACATGAAATAGGAAAATAAAATAAAATGATCTGATTTTGTTTTTCATTGCAGAGCTTCATTGCAAGCAGTATTTATTCAGTCAATTCACGTAATTTGCCATCTTGCAAGCGATCAATTAAGAATGATTTGCAGGAATGACCTCCTCCCGTCCAATCAGCAGGTGGTAAATGAGAAGAGCACATTTTCCAAATGTCCTCAGGCCTGCCTGCAGTAACTCTGAACCAGCTCAGTGTGGGCACTGAAGGGTTCTCACCGTTGTGACCTCCGAATGACTTAACCATTCAGTGGCTCAAGCGATCACTGATGATTCTTTCTGAATGTGGGTTGGTAACCACTGATGTTTACTTTGAAAATAGACTTCTGATTGATCCCTGGATCAATTAACTACTAACTACCAAACATGTTAAATGGGCTGAATATTTGTGACTTTTCTCATGTTCTTACATAAACCTGCTGTATTAAGACTTCCTTAATACACCAGGCCTGCAGACTCCTGGCTTCAAACCTATGGATAAGGGGATAGATTGCTGAACCCAGTTAACTTGAACTGGGCCGATTCAAGCGTTCCTCCAGCTCTTAAGACTTAAAGCCCAGCTGGATTTTGTACAAGGGCTGGGACAGCAGTGGATGCTGCCGAGACGACACTGCCCTGCCTTACCTTGCCCAGCTGTGCCTTCAGGTCCCTGAGCTCCGCCTCCAGGGTGCGCTTTTCCCCCAGCGCGGTGCTCAGAGAGGCGTCCTTGGAGTTGAGCAGGGCCTCCAGGTCCTTGAGCCGGGCCTGAGCCGCAGCCAGGTCCGCCTCCTTCTTGGAGTTCCTGGACGGACAGACGCACGGAGAGACGATGGGTCAGTGCCACAGATCTGACATCACTAACGCTAACCTGACAGAGCCGGGAATTTGAGTCACGGCAGCAGCTCAGGTAAAGAAGGCCCTTCTAGTGCATCAAGGTGCAAGATAAACAGCTGCAGCTTGGATGCCCATCAGGTCTGATAACAGGAGGCACGTCTTTACGCTAAGGGTGGCAGAAGTCTGCACCAGGCCACCCAGCCATCAGATCCCCGGATCTGTCAGCTACAAGTAAACAACAGGCTCATGGAGCAAACCCTCACCTCTGATTTTAGTTTTTTTTTATTTTGAAAACCCTTTCTCAATTTGGCTATTTGTGTGGTTCTTCATTTTGGAAAAGGCACTTTGAAAATGGATCTTTTTGTTTAGTTTCAGACTGGGTCCACAACTGAGTTCACAAAATTGGGGGGGGGAGAGGCAAACAGGCCAGATTCAGGGCGCGAGTGTTCCTTTCCCAGCATGCACCTCTTCCCACCCCAGCAGCAGCTCCCTGGCTCATTCCACCCCGGTGGGGCGTGGGTGCGAGGGGCCTGGCAGCCCAGCAGATCAGAGCCAGACCGCCTGTGACAGACCGTGGGGTCTGTCTGGAGCTCCTGCACAGATTCCTAGATTTTACATTAAAAACACAACGGTTTCCTCTTTGTTCACCCACTTGTCACCCAACAGCATCTCTGATGGGCACGAGCCCTTTCGGCTGCCCATAACGAGTGTGTGTGTGTGTGTGTGTGTGTGTGTGTGTGGGGGGGTATGGGGGGTACGTGGAGGGTGACGTGTCAGCCGTCAGGCGAAGAGCAAGAAGAAAGTTCAAACTGCTCTTTTGGGATGTGGCTCCTGCTTAATTAATGCCATGCAATCCCGCAATCAAACGAAAACTAAAATAGACAAAAGGAAAAAGTGGAGGGTGTGTGTGTGTGTGTGTGGGGGGTGTAGCCTGTTTGAGCTGGAAAATAAAAAACACGACAGAATCACATCCTTGGTTTTCTTCTCTGCCTGGAGCACAACTTGCTTGGACACTAATGAGGTCCATCTGGCTGGCTGATGGTTTCCAGGTCCCTCTCAGCTCCACTCTGACAGGCTCCAGCCTGGCACTGCCATTCTGCGGCAGATTCAAGCTCATCTGCGTGGCAGACACAGCCCTGCTTGGCACTGGCCTGGGCCTGGGCACCAGCCACTGGTGGGCACTGTGGGGGGGACCCCCTCCCATCTCTCCCACGAGACACAGACTGCAAGACCAGGGGATCTCTGCCCTTCTCCGAGTCGGAGGGGGCGCCGTCTGGCTGGCAGAACGGCCGTGTGAACATGGCGCAGGTGGGACCAGAAAACCAGACACCCCTCTCGCCGGCGTGCTGCCAGAGTAGCCGAGAGGCGCAGAGCTCGGCCCGTTGTTGAAGGCTTTCCCGTAGCGGCTAAGGACAGACCGTGCTGAGCGTCTCCACTCTTCTCTTGATGCTTTGCGTTGTGCTTGTAGAGCATTAAGATGAGTGAGAAACACAACTAGTGCAAGACCGAACACAAGCGAGCAGCTAACTTTACAGTACAGCTGGGGCTCGACATTCTTGAGGGTTTGGTGCAGAGAACCGCTGTAAACTGCCAAAATCACATATAATCAAGCCCACTCCTATACCACCGCATAATGTACTACAGCATGGTTACAGACATAAGTAAACCTCCCTTATGCATTGGCTTCAAGTCAATTTAAATAATACTGATTAAAAAAACAACACTTATCACTAACTTATAGTAATCAGTTAAAATAAAAAAAAAAACACAAATCCCTCCTCTGTCTCCAGCCTGCACTTTCTCTCTCTGCTACAACGATCATCATGCTGCACTGTAATAAAAGGGGCAATAAAACTGTCAGAGGGCCTGTAAAGTCATCTCCAGCCTGTCATTCCCCACACTGCTGACACAGAACCTGGAGCGTTCGGCACAGTGCAGACACCAGGGCCACGCTGGGTGGTGGGTACTTGGGCAGGGGCCGTCTCCCTCACTGGCTAGTTCGTCTCACAGTCCTACAGTAGTCTGATCCGCAAGTTGCGCTTCAAAACCTCCAGCTTGGTTTTGTCCCAGTCTGTTCTTCTGCCATCCAAACCCCCATGGGCCAGACAGAACTGCAAAAAAGTTGAGACTCTACTGTTCTATATAATACTTCTGAGCTGTTTGCTATTTAAAATGTTTTTTTAGATTCTTTTGCATCCTTGTTCACCCACGACTGTACTGCCACGTTCAGCACAAACACCATCATCAAGTATGCTGTTGATACCACAGTCCTGGGCCTGACAACTGACAACGATGAGACTGCCTACAGGGAGGAGATAAAACAACTTGCAGACTGGTGCCGAACCAACAACCAATGTCCCAACATCAGAGAGCTGATCGTTGACTTCAGGAGACAAGGAAAAGTCCACTCCCCCATCTACATCGAAGGATCTGTGGTGGAGATGGTGAATAACTTCAAATTTCTAGGTGTTCACATCCTTGAGGACCTCACATGGGCACTCAACACCTCCAGTCTAATCAAGAAGGCACAACAGCGGCTGGACTTCCTGAGAAGGCTGAAGAAAATATGCCTGCATCCACGGATCCTCACCAACTTCTACAGATGGACGGTGGAGAGCATACTGACCAGCTGCATCACAGTCTGGTACGGCAACTGCACCGCAGTGGCCAGAACTGCCCATCACATCATCGGCAGTTCCTTACCATCCATCCAGGAAATCTACAACACCACGTGCCTGAAAAAAGCCCCTGAAATCATGACTGACTCCACTCACCCCAGTCACAACTTGTTCGTCCCCCTACCATCCGGCAGAAGGTTCCAGATGCTCCAGTCACACACAACAAGACTCTGAAATAGCTTCTTCCCCAGAGCCGTCAATCTGGTGACCCCCCCACTACCACTCACCAAACTGTGATCTCTCCTCACTTCTTCCTGTACCACACAACGACTGTACACCTACACCACTACATACACAACTGAATGTAAGCCGAAATTGTACTTACAACTGTACCAGTTGTAATATTTATTAATCACCATATTATTTTTGCACTGTTCCCCAAACTTTTGCACTGTTCTGTCCTGTTGTATACCGTTCTCTGCGTATTTGCACAGTTTTTGATTACACTGTTATTGTGTTACTGTCTATTGTCTTGTCTTCTGTTCTATTTATATTCTGCACCTGAGTGACTAATGAGAAACACTTTTCACTATACTATGCACCCGTGTAAGTATAATGACAAATAAAGTTGAATTGAATTGAATTTACTCTAATACCCAAATGAAAAGTATAAACGAGCTTTGAAGGGCCTCCTTCATTTGCAACCCTACTTGCTCAAATTCTCTGACTCGGAGATCGAAGCCGATGGGGGACATGTTGGCTTGGCTCAGATTCGAAGGGCCTTTTAAGCAGGAGATCAGGCTGGGGGTTCTCCAGCCCTGGTGCGGGACTCCAGATGGACTCTTATGGTCCTGTTATGCAGTTTAACAGCTGCTCCCAGCTCTTCAGGTGCTGCTGCTTTAAAGAGACCTGGAGACCCTGTAGACACAGCGCCCCCTGCTGGACCAGGAGGAGGAGGGCTCCAGGGAGCCGTCAGGAAACGTGGGATAGCGGCTTACACACCCCCACCTAGGGACACCTTCCGATTTGCATTGCTGTGAGGAGCACAACAACCAAACTCCAACGTAAGCAAATGAGCCACAGACGCTTGGAAGATCCCCAACAGTGAATGCGGCCCTGATGCCCCTGCAGACATTTACCCAGGATCCAGGATCAAACACTACCCTGTCTCCTGACCTGCTGTGTGCTTGAAGGGATTAGTTCCAGTGTAGGATGTCATTCCTGTTTCCTACTGGGTGCAGAACTGAAGAACAGGTACCTATTCTTGCATAATGTGTATGTATATTTTGGGGGAAGTCATATCAGAATAGTACTTTATTCACCTTCTTTGGATAAAAACAAAACTAAACAGATGCTCTTTGGTTTGTGAAGGTTATGGGTTATATAGATTAGAACTGAGCCTCCATGACACACCCAGTTAAGGGGAATTTCAACACACTAGATGCTATGTGTGCAGACACAATGCACAAAAGTGAGCAGGCAGAAACACCAGCCAACAGTAGGGTAAGCTTGATCTTGATCATTCTGACTTGGCAGAGGCAGGTCCCGCAGAATGTGTGCTGAGGCGTGTCTAGCAAGGTGGTACACAAGAAAATGTGAAGGACACTCATTTTAAAAACCAGCAGGGCTCTCTGTTGCATCTCGAGACCATGAGAAACACGTAGCTCTCAACACACCCCTAATTTTGTGAAGAATCTGAAACACACTGACAACGCAGTGCATCACTCACAGGAAGACCTATAGACGTCAACATGGATCCCAACTAGGTTAAATACAATGACGTATCTGTGAGGAAATTTAGACTGGTGCTAGTCTGACACTCATCTTTTCTAACACAGCACAGATGGCTCAGTCCTGGACCTGGGGTGCTGTCTGTGTGGAGTTTGCATGCTCTCCCCGTGTTCGTGTGGGTTTACTCCAGGTGCTCTGGTTTCCTCCCGCAGTCCAAAGACAAGCTGGTGGGTTAACTGACTTCTGGGAAAACTGGCCCTGATGTGAGTGTGTGTGTCTGTGATGGACTGGCGTCCCGCCCAGAGTGTACCCTGCCGTTATACCCAGTACTTATCCGGACAGACCCTGGCTCCCCCGTGACCCGCAATTGGATAAAGCAGTTAGGAAATGGATGGATGGTGTATCCAAGATCTAGATTGATTGTGTTT